AAACACAGGCGTCGAGCGTCGATATCGGACGGCGTATGCATGAAGCGGTTCTGCTGCTTCCTTGCAACATGTATATTTCCCGGTGTGTTTTGTCATATGTCTCTCTCTTTTCCTAAACGGAGGTGGTGGCGGCGGGCGCAATCAGGCTTTTTCTTCCTTTCTTTTACGACCGGATGAACTGGATACTTACGATTGCGATGATGCGTGCTCATGTTAATGAGTAGTTCTACACGGTCTTATCAGCGATGGGACATGGGTTAATTTGCGGCATCGAGGCGTTTTTTCGTTAGGCTTGGATACTTTTCATCTTAGATGTTGATGAAAGAAACGAGTCATGGAGCGATCAAGGGCGTGTATGCGTTTGGGTTTATAGGATATCTGGGGCGTGTGTGTATAGATAAATTTGAGATGTGGGGATAATCAACGATACTGGTATTCATTGGAGACTGGATCAAGCGCTTTTTTTTTCCTCTTCTTTTTCTTAACTCTGCTGTGTGATGTGTGAAGTGCAATGCCTCAACGCTCTAATCGGAGTTATGCGTTAAACCTGTGGTGTTTGGCTCATAATACTTACCCCTGCCTTGGTCTATCCAACCATCCATCTTACTACCCTTCCCCACATTCCCCTGCACACCCCTCATCCCGCCACCGCGGACCCGAGGCTGTAACCTATGTTAGCTCCCAACATTTCGCTGATTTACCTCAACAATGTCCTGGTTCAACACATTCAACACTATCCCCGGTATGTTGGTTGTACAGTAAGTAGTAACGGCATTAGGTCCCATTAGATTGATCGACAGCTGCCATCCTCCTTTCTCACGTGCAGTAGGTAGGTAGTAGTTAGCAGTAGACGAACACCCGCGGCAATGAACAAACAAAAAATCCCCAACGTCACCGCTCGCTCATACAAGGCAATATCCCGTCCACGGCGTTAGTCCCGCCGTGCCGTTCACCGCCATGCTCCGGGGACGGGGGTGTAAAGCCTCGTGTGCGTGTGCGTATTCCCGGGTGTCATTGGCTGGACTGGTGACTGATCGACTTTCCCACGCGGAGTTTATTTGTTTGTTTTTCTTCGGTCAAGCTGATATGCGGGTTAGTTTTAGTTTTCTTGGTGGATATAAATTGGGGGCGTTCTTCGCTGTGGGGGGTTTGAAGGCATTGGCAAAGGCTTGGTGAAAGCTTAGCTGTTCTTGTGTGTGTTGTCGAGTTTTATGTTGTTGAGGGATTGAGTTGCAATCATGAAGATGAAGATGTTTGTTGAGAAGACTACCGTTGCGGTGCGAGGAGCGGCGTTTGTTGCGCTTCTTGTTGGTGTTGGCGCGGCGCCTGGGATGACGACGATGACGGTGCCTGCGGCCACGGACGTGGGAGCGAATACCGCGGATGTGTATCCTCCTGCTAGTAGTAAGTTTCCAGCTTTTTCCCCATTGTTGGGAGTAAAAAGAAGGAAAGAAAGAAAAAACAAGCTGACGATGTTTGTGGTGTAGCTGCGGTAAACTCATCACTGTTTCCTCCAGAGTCTGTGGTTGGGTTCCCTGGACGTAAGTAAACACTTCAAACGTCAATTGAATGTAGTTTACTGATAACATGCGTTCCAGCGACACCCACGGGGGCCGAACCGTTTGCCATCCAAACCGCACCAGCGTATCCGTATAACGATGGTTCCGCGTCGTCATACCCGCTGATCCTACCCCAGCCACACGGCAGCGGTTCGCAATCTCCAAACTTGGACATTGCAAAATACTGGGGAAACCTAAGTCCATGGTACTCTGTCCGCAGCGCAGACTACGGACTCCCAGATGCTAGCCCTTTAATCCCAGATGGCTGCGAGATTACGCAGATGCACCTTTTGTATCGCCATGGTGCTAGGTATCCAACCAGTGACGCAGCGCCAGCGAAATTTGCACAAAAGATTGTTAATGCGACGAAAACTGATGGACTTGCATTTTCGGGGGAGTTGGAGTGGTTGGCGAATTGGAAGTATAAGCTTGGTGCCGAGTTACTCACGCCATCTGGACGCAGTGAGAACTTCATGTTGGGCGTGGAGTATAGGCAGTTGTATGGGCATTTGCTTAATAACTTTACTGAGAGTGGGAAGATTCCGGTTTTTAGGACAGAGAGTCAGGATCGTATGGTTCATACGGCGGAGAATTTTGCTGCTGGGTTTTTTGGGTATGGTGACACCTTTCTTTGCTCTCTGACTTTCATAATGTTCTCTTACTGTGATTATTCATATTGCTAACACATCTTACACAGTGTCCCAGAATACATGTCCCAAGTCAACATCGAGCTCCTCGTCGAAACCCTGGGTGTCAACAACTCAGGCGCCCCCTACGAAATTTGCAACAACTCCAACATCGCCTCCCGCGGCAGCATCGGCAGCAAAGTGGCCTCGGACTTCGCCCACTCTGCCTTCAACGCCACGCTTGCCCGTCTCCAATCGCAAGTCGAAGGCATAACCCTCACCTCCACCGACGCAATCGCCATGCTACAACTATGTTCGTACGAAACCCACGCCTTAGGCTATTCCCCCTTCTGCACCCTCTTCTCAGCACAAGACTTCATAAACTACGAATACTACTACGACCTCTCCTTCTACTACAACAACGGCTTCGGCAGCCCCGTGGCCGCGGCCCAAGGAAAAGGCTTCCTCGATGAATTCATCGCGCGCTTTACGCAGACGTATCCGCAAGCGAATTCGGCGCTGAACGAGACGTTTGATAATTCCAGCACGTATTTCCCGCTCGATCAGAGTATTTATGCCGATGCGACGCATGAGGTTGTTGTGCTGGATGTGCTGACGGCGTTTAATCTTACCGCGCTGTTTAAAGGTGGGCCGTTGAGTGGGAAAGGGAATGAGGGTAAAAGTGCGTTTGTGGCGAGTAAGGTTGTCCCTTTTGCGACGCATTTTACGACACAGGTGATGGAGTGTAGGGCTATGGTGCCGACGAAGCAGATTAGGTTTATTGTGTAAGTGGTTTCTGCATTACTATGGCTTTTCAATGGGAGTACTAACAAGGGCTGTAGGAACGATGCTGTGCTACCGATTGATGGATCATACCCTGGATGCCCTGATGATGCAAATGGGCTTTGCTCATTCGATAACGTGGTAGATATGCTGAAGAAGAGGAGTGCAGAGATTGATTTCGAGTATGATTGTTTTGCGAATTACACTGCTCAGGCTGGGGTGGATTATAATGGGAGGGCGCCGAGGTAGTGACGCTGTGTACGGAGATGAGGAAAAGATGGGGTAGCCGGTAATAGTAATAAATAATATGGTATTGGACTATGCAACCCCTACCTGGGTGACATACAATACTTGACATGCGAGTGTAAAAAGGCTACTCTATGCGACAGACACACCTATATGGTGCTTGATCACACGTTCAAGTATTTATGTCACTGTAAGCGCCAAATGTAAAGCAGAGAAAGTACGACATTGATTAAGAATAAAAGAAGCAATTGCGTCAAAATAACACCCATCATCACTAATCAGCCAGCAGCACCACCAAGCCGTTACAACCTAAGCAACCCCCATTCCCTCATGAATACATAAAGCACCGATAACTCCTCGCACCCGCAACATCATGCGCATCACCCCACCCATTCTTCCTTAACCTTCCATGCCACCTCACACTCCCCTGGCAAGAGATCCGATCAAACACCTCACAGTATTCACATTTCCAATTCGCGAACCTGAGCATCTGCGTGTGCAAGGGAATGTTGCGGCAGAAGTAGCCGGGTGGGCTTGAAGCATAGGTTGGGATGCGTAGGTTGTTGTAGAGCTCGATGTATTCGCCGCATTCCGTGTCGTTCTCGGGGAGGCTATTGGAGATGGAGGCTAGGGTGGGTATGGGCCAGGGGGGTGAGGTAGCGAAGTCGATGGCGCTCGTGGCGTTTGAAAGTGTAGAGGGTGTGGTTGTGATGATTCGGGTTGTTGTCGTCGTTGAGAACGTAGTTCTAGTCGTAGAAGATAGGCCGAGGGCAAGGGCGCTGGTTGAGAGAGTGCTATTTGAGAGTAATGTAGGTGTAGTAGTAGCCGTGGTATTCAGCATGTCTGTGTCTTCCGTAAATCCAGCAAGGATGACGAGAAAGTAAGCGAAGAGATTCATGTTGACTTTGTTGCTCGTATTGGTGTTTTTGGAAGTGGGCTGGATAGAGGTATCTTGATGGCTTGTGGCAGAAGAATGATGGTGGAGTGGTGGTTGAGAGACAAGAGAGGTTTGTGACGGATCCTTTGTTTATATGGTAGTGGCGATGCCCGGTTTTTGTTGCCTTTAACGTCGGGCATGTTGGTAGTTGTCGCTTCCATTCTTTCCTTGAGTTTTGATGGTGAGAAGCGGTGGGGCTGGGATTGTGTATCGCTGAAGTGGTTTATGGAAGAGAAGGTAAGAGTGAGTGACGCTGCTGCTAGGTTTATACGGGCACCTCCAAAAGTGTGAAGAGGTGGTGAATATGGGAAAGAGGCAAGAAGATCTGATGGTGCGATAATAATAGGCAGGAACCGACAGCCCATGAGCTTACATCTCGTGCCTCAAGCCACTCATTTCTCCCATTTGTCACTTCCATCAAACATGAACCAGCAACTCATCTATCGCTTCACATACATATACATTAAACAATCCGCTACCAGCCAGCTCCGCGCCGTCTATGAAAACCTATGGTATTCCTTTCCATGCTCTCTCATCTCAAGCCTGCCTCCATTGTTCCAACACAACGCAACGCCGTCGCAATTCCTTGGTCATACAAAGCGACGGTCGTGGATGTAGCCCAAGAAAAGTCATAACGTGGTATCATCGTTTCCCTTTTGACCAGTGTAAACCCCGTCCCATACCCAGACAAGCGGGTCTCAGCAAAACATCATGTTCCAATGTTCAAGCTTAGGCAGCCTTGCCGTTAGCAGTCTCCGCCATTGCACCGGCTGTGCCGTTTGTTTTCTCGCTCTTCTCTGCTTCGACTGCTGGTGTAGGTTCAGGCTTTGGCTCTGAGACGGCTTTGCTGACGACCAGGCCGATGAGGTGAGATCCGACGTTTCCAGCGCCGTCGATGGGTCCGAGTTTTGCGTCAAAGAGCTTGGCTTCACGAAGTAATCTACTCGGATGTTAGGATAAATGCTTTGTTCCAAACACTGCACGACATACCGAGCTTTCCCGCCGGGGGTTTTGACCGCTGCTTCTCTGATCACCTTGCCAACTTGGTCTCTGTAGCTCTCGAATACGGGACCCATGATCATCCTGACCTGGATATCGCTAAGGTACTTGTTAATGACCTTGTGCATGGTCACAGTATCCTTGGTCAGACTCTCCATGCTGGGGCTGACGTCCTTGTTAATCTCAGCGTCGTTGTCCCATTCCACCTTCTTGAGGCTGCGCATATGTACTGTCGCTCTCCCAGACAGGATATCAGTCAACTTCTCGTGGATCTGGTTCTGCTGGTCATGAAGCAGCCGTTTCACATTGTCGAATTCGCTGAGTGAAGACTTGTTCGCTGCAGAGGCGGCGCGTCGGCGGAAACATTCGCGGATATATGGTAAGATGGCGATGATTAGGGACAAAGTTTGTGAGGCGATGGCGAGGTGTTTGGTGTTGATATTCTTTAGACCAGCGGAGTGCATGGCGCCGGCGCCAAGGATCAACTGGCAAAGCCGGGAGTTGAAGAGTTTGATGTATTCACAAAGTGAGGTAGAAACTTCCGAAGTCATGCTCGGCATGGAAGAAACCAAAATTTCGAAGCGTTCGATACCACGAAGGACGGTTGTTGAAGACTGTGATATCGTATACTTTTCCTCGTCTACAATGGCAGGCACAGTCGTTTTGCCCTTTTCCTTTGGTTTTTCTTCCACGTTGCCGTTTGTTAGTGCTAATGTACCGTTTGTAGTTGGCTCCTCGATTTTCCGGAGGACATCACCAGTCTCTGCCCAGCTTGGTGGATCGCTCTCCATGCCCCTCAACAAACGTGCCAAGACTTCGGTGTCGTCTGCGTCAAAGTCCTTGGGCTCCCACCTGTCTGCATCCATTGCTTTTGCAAGCTCTTGCTTCTCGAAATCCCCAAATTTGCTCACAAAGTCGTTGATGTGGGTGTTGACAACAGCCTTCAAGGCCGCACCAGAACGGCCTGAGACTGCCTCACATTCGTCGGCAAACAGCCTGCACATGTTGAAGTATCGTAGGAAACGATCCAATGGGAGGTTAGTTGTAGCTTCGGAACGCACTTTCAGAAGCTTCGTGATTTGCGTCTGGGCCGCGTCTACAGCCTGGCCCAAAAGGCTTGACATGTCGAGAGCTTGCATGAGCTCCATTTGTAGATCGCTCGCACTCGGGGGTGGTGGGCCGTTAGTGATGTATTCATCCATAGTGTTCCCGTACGGACTTCTTAGAGGGGACCGCAGCCCACCTGCAGATGGAGGTGTGGCAACGCCGCTCGTTACATCAAGCAGCACCTTGACCAATATACTAAGTCGCCGCAGGGCTTCGCCAATGTTGGTGAATATGTTTGCGAAGAAGGCTTCAGCGTCTGCAGGGTCCATCGCACGCAGATTCCTTGCCAGGATTGAGTTCTTGTCCGCCTGGCTCGATCCGCGACCACCTCTTGTAGACACAGAAGCCATGGACCCAGTGTCATCATCCGATGAACTTGGCAAGTGTTTGCGAATGAGAAGTTTCATCTCTCTGACTATCGATTCCCTAAAGGTTGTGCTCGCTTGATTCGTGAATTGCGCCCCGCTCAGACCGTACAAGCTAGCTCGGAGGTCTGCACGCAGCTTTTCATCTGTCGTCATGTAGGCGGGCAAAGCTATTTGAACCTTCTGGCTGTTTCCACGTGCCTTTTGCGAAGCGGCAACCCATCGTTCCAGTGTGTCATGAGTCGGAACTCGCTTGACGTGCTCACGCAAATCAGTGAGTAGGGTGTCGACGAAATGGGCTTCAAATCCTCTTCCTACGCGGAACTTTAGTTCAGTAACGGCGTCGAAAACGCCGTCGAGTGCTCTCAGATGGCGCAAATCGATCAATTGTAGGGGCAGGCGTGACTCTAGCCAAGCAGTAGCTTGCGCGTCTCTGGTATCCAGCGCCCCAGTTATGAGTCTTTCTATCATTTCTATCCGAGTCATGGCACTCTCCAGGTTGCCATCGACGACTGCCTGGTCACAGCGCGACAATCCAAAAAGCACAGCTTGTAGCTGGTCGACCGAGTCGGCCAGTCTTCTCAGGTTTTCTCTCCGTCTCTTCATCTCGACAACCTTCAAGCCTCCTATGGCCATTTGCTCGTCAAGCTTCTTCAGGTCTTCCCTGAGGCCTTTTATTCGCGCCACCGAGTCGGCTGCTTCGGTCTGGAGGTCGCGCAGCGAGCCAAGCGCAGCAAAGAACGATGACGATGCCGTAGATATAGCAGATATCAGATGCACCTCAACCGTGTCCATATACCATGATAGTTTCTCCTGCAGTATCGCATTCGTCGCCAGCGCTTTCCTTCCCGGCTGTTGTGGAGCGTCCAGCGAAGCATTCGCGCCATAATCATCGGTACTTGAGTTCCGTACCGGTCTGACCACCTCGGATCGTTCGCTCACGACGTCAAAGGTTCGGGGGTTTTCGAGGTGGAAGTTTTCGTCAAAGTAAATATTGGGTATCGTAGAAAGGGGGGTAATTGTGGGAACGGTACGTTTCGATCCGCTCGTTCGGCGCTTCAGCCTCGGGCTGCAATGGGGAGAAAAGGACCTTCCGCCAAGATTCGGGGTGCCGGCCGGTGAGCCTGTGTGTAAGCTGCGCTCGAGAGACTCTGAGCGGTACTCCTTTCTCGAAGTTTGCCTTGGTGACGAGCTCCTATGTAGAGTGCGCTCCAGGGATTCTGAGCGATCTTGCTTCTTTGACCCTCTCCTTACTGGCTGCGTTGATTCGGCCTCAGCCTCAGCCTTTGCACGTTGGAATGCCTCGTACAGATTGCCGACTTGCGAGAGGTATGGATTGAAGGCGGAGGGTTCGATGTGGGGTACATTCGTCAGAGTGACAGGAGGGATATCTTTGGTGGATGGTGGTCGATGTCCAGACGTGGCCGTAGCAGTTGTATGCGGAACCATGCCAGTCCGCATAATGGGCGGCGTGAGCAACGTAGAGATAGCTTGAGCCAGGGTTAGCCGTCCTTCAATAGATGACGTTTTATTCTATTGTTTGCCCACCATTGTTGCTCTGCTCTCTCACCGCGCCCATGCTACTCTTGAAGCCACTATCAAGTGAACCACCGACCGAGTGGATTGAAGAGGCCGTAGAGCCACGTCGCGGTTTGTAGCGCCCACCCGTAGACGTTGACCGGCCTGCCCATTCGTGCTGCGGGGGAAACTGGAATCCGCCCTGGGGCGGATTTGGCGATAGAAACTCAAAACTCTCACTCGACCGCCGTGGGGAATTGGTCGTCGACATGATGGCGGCGCAGGTCGGGGGTGCTCAATGGGCGGCGGCATGGATGAGCAGCTCGGGGATAATTTATCGCATATTCGGTGCGAGATTGGACCTTGGTTTGCTGATTATCGCCCAGAAAATGACAAGGACAAAAGGCGCAAAGACCAACGTCGTGGGCGGCCCAGGTACAACGCGCTCGGTGGTGAGTGTGCATGGACCCGCGGCTTCTGGAAGCTTGACAAGGGCCGGCCCATGCAGCCGAAACACGAGTCTCAGTCTCATAACGACCTCACACGCATTATGTAAGCATTACACAACTGACTCAGGTGGGGCTCCAGTACGATAAGGCAGGGAGAGAAGATGTACCAATGAAATTATAGGACCTAGAGGGTTTGATAGAGATAAAAAATGATGACTTTGGCCTAGGCACCGATACCGCGTCTGATACATCGCAGCTAATGTCAGAATTGAGCATGTAGGCTATCCATTACAATACAGTCCCCTTAGGGAAAAAGGATAGCCCAATAGAAGTAGTAGGCTATCCATTTCCTGCCCTCTTTCGTCCTTGTCAATCAGAGCTGCTTGGATAGTATGAAGAATGACGTTTCATGTTTGCGACGTCGACAGAAAGTCAACGAATAGTTACAACAAGCGAGAGCTTGTTAGTTATCAGAGATGAAGAAACGGTCGATCCATCAAGATCACGCCAGGAGCTTAATGAAATAAACACAGTCGTCATATGATTCTTCTAAGAACGCAATATACAAGATGCCAACAACACACCTCACTACCACACTAAACTAACCGCCACAACCGCACAAACAACAGTCCACACCCACCCTGCCCTCAACCCCACAGCCGCATCCTCCTCATCCTCCTTCCCACCCCCATCACTCTCACTCCCCGGATTCGCCTCCCCCCTCCCCGTCTGCTGCTCCCTCCCTGTCATACTCCCCCTCACAACGGCACCCTCATCCAACCCGCCATCCTTTCCCCACGCTACCCCCGCGACCCTCTCCCAAAGCTTCGTAACATTGAAGAAATCGCCTGGCTGATACCAAATCCTCGCACTAGCGGTATCATTAAGAAATTGCGTCGGCACACCCGCGCCCTCCATGCCCTTGCGGATGTTATCCTGGAAGTTCACGCTCGCTTCCAGCGACGCAATGGGTGCGGGGAAAGGGAGTACGTCTCGCCAGGTCAAGGCCTGACCGACCGAGTCGGCGAAAGCGAGGGTTATGTAGGTGGATAAGGCGTGCATGTAGAGGTCCTGGAGGACTAGTGTTCCCTTTGTTCCGCCGACTGCGACCATGGGGCCGAGTTGGGGGCGGCCACCTACGGCGAGTGTGCGGACGTTTGATTGCTGCGTCATGAGTTCCGTGAAGATGGAGCATGTGGAAGCGCAGATGCCGTCGGTGAGCAGAATGATATCTTCAGCGCGGAACGGATCCTGGGTAAAGTTGCTGCGCTCGTTGTAGCCTGTGATTGTGATGCCGACGCCTAGTTGAGGGTCGCTCGTGATTAAGGGGTCTGAGAGGTTGAATTTCAGGAGCGAGGTGAAGTTGTCGTTTTTGAAGCGTTTGGGTGGGTACATTGCTTTCCAGTCCTTGAAGGGTTCGAGCGAGGCGGAGAGGTAGGCGTCGTTGCTGAAGACGCTGGTGAAGAGGATGCCGTTGGTTAGGCTGAGGGTTTCAAAGCTGGATATGTTTTCGCCGAAGATTTCGCTGGCGCGGTGGCCGCGGTAGCGGGATTGTGTTTGCGGGACTTGGGAGGGGAAGAATTGGCGGTAGGCGTCGTAGCCCGATAAGATTTTCCCGCCGCCGTTGGTGCGGACATCGATGATGTGTTTTTCTACGCCGCGAGCTTGGGCTTGGGATATGTATTCTTGGATTACGCGCTGGAACTCTCGGGCAGCGGATACGTCTTCTGTGAGGAATGTTTGGATGACTAGCACGCCAATCTTGCCAACGCTTGTGTCGATGAAGTAGCCGGCCAAAGGTACCTTGTCTGCTGAATGTGCAACAACGGGGTCGGGATATAAGACCGGTACGGCACCATAATCATGTCCAAGTGCGCCGTGGAGCTCATAATCGCGCGGGTTTTCGAGGTTGAGTGGTGGAGCATTGACATCCCTCCTCTTCACTCCAAGGGAGCTGGTGGTACTGGAATTGGCAAGGACGTATGTCTCGTAGAAAGTCTCAGGACTGTTAATGCTACTCCAGATATCTGGCCGCAAAACAATGGCGCCGTTCCTGTACGTATTGGTCGTCCCGTTCTCATATGTGACGTTTGTATTCGCGCCAGGATAGAATCTTGGACTAGTAAAGTATCCAAAGTTCTCTGCTGGCTGCATGAAGAACATGGCATTAAAGCGGGTATCTGGGTCGTGGTATGCGCTCAACTTGGCCTCCTCATTCAGGAACTCAACAACATCTCTTCCATCAACCTTGGTAACAGGCGAGGGCTCGTAAGAAGTAGTGCCGTTGAAGTCTTGCATCGCCCAGATCCGAGGTATCTCGCTGCCGTCTTTGGATGCGGAAATCAACGCAAAATCACTGCTTCTTCGCCACAAGAAAGCTGCTGCATATACCATGCCATTCCAAGCCAGATGCCCATCATGCGCTTTGACAAGCAAGGCCGCAATGTCTGCTTCAAAGTCATACTCGTTTGTGTACGTTGGGCTCTCGACCTTCACCCTGATATCTTCCAGACCGGCCATGATGTCCACAGGTTCGTTTGGCCATCCCTTGGGCGGGTCCTTGAGATAGCTCAGCGTGGATTGGAATTGAACCATCTTCTTGATTTCATCAAGGGTAGTTGATGCATCTTCCGAGTTGAATGGTAGAGACTTTAAGCATGCGTATGCGAGTTCGGCCTCCACGGCTGGGTACTTGTCTGTTGAATCCACGACGTAGGCAGCGATATTTCCACATGCTTCGCTGGTTTTTATCGGTCCTGATACTGCAGCAATAGTGCTGGGTTTGATGTCGGTATCGTCTGCTGTTGGTGTCGGTGCTGGTGTTGGCTCCAGATTGAGTGATGGTATTGGAGTTTCGCTAGCCGCCGAGTTTGTCTGTGCCGTAACAACTCCTAGGAGCGCTGAAAACACTACAGAGGTCTTCATCGTGATGTTCGGGTGTGTCAAATTCTCTTCTGGTTCCCATATCCCGCTGCACCACCGCCATCTTTAAACCAACGCCCCTCTGCACAGCCATCACAGCCATCGCATCCTTTAGGACCCTCCTTCCCCCCACCCCATAGGCGCTGCCGCCTAAAAGGCATCTCGCCTTTATTTAGAGGCTTGGCATCTTGGGACCTGGCGCACCACTGTGTGCACCCGGGTGATGAATTAGTTGACATCCTAGTATACAAAGATCGTTTTAGGCGCCAGATATGCCTATTAGGAATAGAACACCAGTATTTACCCACACTGTCGCTGTCAAGTACGTATCTCATGTCGCCCAGGTGTGCGAATGAGATTGAGGAAGCTGGGGTAGAAAGTGTAAGTGTAGATCTTCCCCTATTTAGGCTAACTTCGCGACGCCACTACGGTTAAGCGGCGTGGGTGGGGGGAAGGAAGCGGCTGAAAGACATGAATCGCGTGGTGTGCCTAATGGCATCACTATTGCATTCGATTCAGGAAACCAAGTATCTCGTCTGAAACTTCGCATGTGCATGGATGCTTTTTACAGAGTTCCGTCATTGCAAGTTTGACCGTTCCTAAGTTTTTGTTCTGCGCAAACGTCGGCACTTAGTTAGCGTTATATTTCCTTGATTGTACTTACAGTATGTACCTAATAGCCTTGCCAAGCCTTGCAGACGCATAAAACGGCACCGTCAAAGAAATTAGCTGGACGCCTCAGTAGTAGGCCTTTGTGTTCAGCCTTTGTTTTTCAGCACCGTTATCCAGCTGCGGCTGCACGCCGAACGTGTATTGTGGGGTTAAAGTGCCGAGTTTTGCGTTGTTATTAGCGCGAGCTGCGATAGATAGATAACCTAGTGACGTATGCTACATGTCTTTGTACTTGTTGAGCTTATACATTAAGTTTCTACTACCACCACACACCGCAGATGCTCCGAGATCTACATTTGCAATGCGCAAGATGGTACCTAACGTCGTGCATAGCTGGTTGCCTACTTCTTGATGCCCACGACGACGAGGTTGCGTGGACTATATTTGTACTCGAATACGGGTTCCACCCATGCATGCTCGACATCATCTTGCTCTTTGAGCCACAGATATCGGTCCGTGACGACAACTGCTTCGACCACGCCGGCGCTAAATGCCATTAAACTCCACATGACACTCAACTCCTTCTTTCTCTCGGTATACCTCACTTCATAATCCCGGATATCGTCATCTGTAAGGCCATCCATTTTCCCTTTGATGAAAGTGGGATCGACTTCGCAGAACGAGTTCTCGGCCGTGAGTTTGGCCAGCGCTGCGCGTACGTACGAGACGAAATCGCTGTAGGCGAATTTGCGCAGTGTGCCAATGGTGAGCGGTGTAGTGGTGCCATCAGAGGATAGACCAGGGCCGAGGCCGCTAGGTGGTGTCCAGTTTACTTGTGAGGTATGGCCATTTGCAGAGACGGCGCTGCCGGTGAGACCTTGCTCGTCGAGAGGAGCCGAAACGACGCCGCGATCGAGGAAGATGCGCTGGAGTAGAGCACGATAGAAATGGCGGGTGAAGAAGAGTTCCGAGTCAGAAGCACCCCAGTTGAAGGGTGCTTGGACGGCCATCATTCGGGCTGTGATATTAAGGCGCACACCTTTGGGTTGTTCTATCTCCTCCCCACTTTCCGATGGTTCAAGTGGAGTATGTGGTAGAGTGTAGTTTGCGAGCTTCTCTGACATCGGGAATCCGTTTGGATCAAAGGCTTTGGATGTAGACTCCAGTCGTGGATGATTCGGCCGAAGCGTGGGTAGCTTGTACGTTGGCGGGCCAAGACGTTCGGTAACGAGGTTGTAACAACAGCCTACCATTGCGACAGCGGAGATGTGGGAATTCAGTAGCATCGAACGTAGTCCATAGTGAACGAGGTTTCCGCAGGAATGAAGTGAGATAACCATTGCGTTCACATCCTTGGGCTTGGGAACGGCCTTCAAGTCGGTAGCTTCTGCGACCACAGCTTCCCCTGAAGACACGAGTTCCTCTGGCACATTTGAGCTGTCAAGCACTTGGTCAATGACTGGTGTGAGGTCGCCGCCTTGGATGATGTGCTCGACATATTGAACACTTCCATTACCGTCGTTGTATATTTGGAGTGTAGAAGTCTTCGTGGCTTGACCTACGTCAGCAATCTCCTTCTCCTTCGAAGACGCTTGTGGCGGATGAACTGTGCAACCATCGTAATCACACTTCACTCCATTCTGAGGCGTTGGAGAAGCTACCGGGTCAGTTTCGATAGAATCTGGTAGACCTTTGCTTTCGCCATTCGTCCCGGGCTCTGCACTGATTGCAGACGGGTCATTAGTCGTGTTGCCTTTCTTTGATTTTCCAAGCTTGGCTCGATACTCCTTCTTGTTCCTCATCACAATTGGCTTTGCAACCAGCTTGGCTAGAATATCCATGTTTTTTGCTCCATCGATATTGTGTTGTTTGCTTTCTACAGCGACGATATGCTTGGAGTATGGAGAAGCGGCGAGCGCTCTTCCAAGATAGTTCTGGCCTGAACCGAAATCCACAAGATGGGTTATTGGCTTCCTGTTAGACTCTGCTATCTCAGAGGTAAGCCTGTCAATGTAGCGTGCAAAGTTGTCAACTTCGTGCACTTTCTTGACCTTCATTCCCATAGCAATATGGCGTGGTAGTGCAGTCTTCTGGGGCTCAAGAGTTGAGTTTGGAGGAGGAAAGTCGCGCGCTAACAGATGCTTCCGCACAGTTTTGATGTACTGTAGCAGCTCCTCTGGAGGTGCAGGACCATTGCGCCAAACCTCACTACCATTGTCAAATTGGGTGAGGTCTTCCCTCATCAATAGGTCCAAGATTTCCATGATATCCCTCGTCTTGAACCATTCTCTCCATGACTGAGGTAAGATATGCGAGTAAAGATCAGGTGACCTAGTGTAGAAGTCGAGGATATGGACACCGCCACAGAGAGTCTGAAGAAGCCATGAGGAAGTTGAAAACTTTAGCAATGACTCGACGTATTCATCGGTATCTCTGAAATCCGGAGGGAGGGGTAGGGGCGTATCCGGACCCATTGTTTCATCCCAATCCTTTCGTTCTTCCTTCACACCGGGTTGGTTTTCTCCGTTTGTTGATTCTCAAGGACTGTCGCGCCATCAGGTAAACATGGTGGTGTTCGTGACTCGCATGGTCAATTTTCTTGGGAAGGTGGGTCCGTGCCGAGCCTCGGTGTTGGGGCGCGTCATACGGTAGCGAGCACTTGGACAATCGACCAGGACAAACATCATCTCACGCCTCAACACGCTCCTTTGCCTCACAACTAGAATTAATAGTAAATTCGGTGTCGCGCAGGTCACGATGATGTCAGGACAAAATGATGAGGATCCTTTCCTCCAGGTTCAGGCGTAAGACTTGCTCCTTATCTGTCTAAGCAGCTTCATTAACTCCTTGTAGAGACGTCTTGTCTGCCCTCAACACTGCGCGACCCCTGTTCAAATCATATCTACGTATACGATCCTCAGCATCTTCAGCCAATAGCCCCGAACTGCGAGAAGCCCGTAGCGAGCTAGAACAAACGCTCCAGGACCTCAGTCAGGACCTTGAAGACCTTGTAGAAAGTGTCAAGGCAGTAGAACATGACCCCTATCGCTTCGGCTTGGAGATTGACGAGGTTGAGCGACGGAGAAGATTGGTCAAGGAGGTTGGCCATGAGATTGAGAACATGCGCGAGGAGCTACAGCAGACAGTCGAGCACGCGAAGAACAAGGGCAAGAGCGCTGCGAATGGCGATATGCTGCCCGATCCAGACTCGTTCGAGGAAGAGGATACGTACGCGGCATTTGAGCAGGAACGACAGATGGAGCTTATGCACGAGCAGGATGAAGCTCTAGATGGCGTCTTCCGCACCGTCGGCAACCTGCGACAGCAAGCCGACGACATGGGTCGCGAGCTCGAAGAACAAGGCGAATTGCTCAACGACGTAGATACCGTGGCAGACCGGGTCGGCGGAAAGCTCCAAACGGGTCTCAAGAAGGTCGGCTGGGTCATCAAGCAGAACGAAGGTGCGTAAGCTGAAACACGTGTCACATGCCCTGCTGATTGTTTCCACTGTAGACTCATGGTCCAGTTGCTGCATCGGTGTTCTGATTTTCGTCTTAATCCTGCTTCTCGTCCTTCTTCTCATCCTCTGAACGCGCAATCATTGCATCTCAAAACCTTAGACTCGGCCGGGTACATGCTCGCCCGTGTATGCAAATGCCGAGCCCTCAATGCCGGAGCACATACCCCAGCTTGGCGCCAATTACCTCACCATCAGAAGGCTGCCTTGCAGTTTAGGGCCATCAGCTTCAAGATATCATCTCATTGGGTCTAAAGCTTCTGGAACCGTTCGTTACTATATTCGCAATGGTATACGTATGACGCAGACGCCGTCGCAACCCCTGCCTGATCCCGTTTCTGTAGCGTGGTTCACGTTGCCGGCGCTATCCCTACTCGGGCAATCTCCGGCTCCGGGGTAATCCATCGACACGTGCAGTTAGCATTGTCCATGGCAGAACCTCACGCAACTAGTCTTCTCCAGCTATCAGGACTGTCGTGTATCATCATCACCATGATATTTAGTGTTCAGAATGATTTGGAGGCAACCGAGCAATGTCGGCATAGTGCGAGAGTGTTGGGCGTATGTTGGGCTTGTGTTGACACCGATCAGGACCCACAGGTTCCCTCATCGACAGCATTCCTGACGTCTCATCGTCGCACAGAGCTTTCACAATTAGAAACATGTATTGAAGAGGCTCTGGAATGCACCCTGCAGGTATGGAGCACGATGATAGCGTTGCTCTGAGACACGTCTTGTATGAGATGCCCAGCTTCCTCCAACACTTTCACGAAAATCATACTTGCACTGGCCATCATTGACCGACTTTTGCTTTTTTGTCACTTGCCAACGAGTCACACTCTTTAATATTCGTTTAATGTTTTTGCTATAGACACGGTCTTTACCTCGCGCGTACACTGTCTCCCACTGGATGGCTGGATCAGACACTGACAGTAGCGAAGCTCGACAGCCGCTCAACAACCTCAAAATATACAAAAAAATCCCGCGCCGGAAGGTAACTCTGATTATCATTACAGTCCTTTTAAATATCCTCACTTGGAGTGCTCTTGTCAGTCTCGTCGCCTCTGTTGTTCAGACCGCATCCGATCTGACGGATACTACGAGCATTGCGCCATTAATCTTGACCTCGATATCGGTACGTCTAGATAGGCCCTTCAGTTTAGACTACGAACTAAGAACCTCAGGCTCTGGCGACATTTGTATACGTTCTCGTCCATACCATCTTCTCTTTCAAGCAGAAGACATGGGAGCTACAAAGGCAAATCACGTCCGCCGTTGACAGAACCTTTTACTTTGCCATTCGTATTGCAGCATCACTATGTGCACTTTGGCTGCTTACTTCTGGGTGGAACATGATTCTTGTGGCAAGAAGGCCTGTCTGCTTGCAGAAAGCGCCTGGACTACAAAGTTTCGAGTATGGCACAACCTGCCAGTTGAGCCGTATTAGCATAGCTTTCGCTGCCATCGCACTGTCAGTAACGCGTTAGTGTTTCAGGAGTTGTCACTGACAAAGACACCAGAACTGCATCATGTGCTCTTTTCGGCATGCTTGCTGTTGTCAGCCGGCCTTTTGAGGCTCATTTGTTCAAACATGGTTACCAACTGCCTACTGATTCAGATTCTATACCGTCACTTTCCCGAACTAATACTACGTCGCCACCAATGTCTGTGAGTGTAGAGAAATACGAGCGTGGTCGGGGCCGACGGCGGCCCACTTCGATTGAGAGTGCCAACTCATCCGACTCCTCGAGCGCCAACGCATCTACGATCCATTTGAGTAATAGCCCACCGCCCATGTCTTCCCATTCTAGAACTTCCAGCTCGTTATCTCGACCCCCTCATCTATCGGGACCAGCCAGAAACCCAATCTTCGGACAACCATCAATACAAGCGCAATACGCACCCTCCACATGGCGTGCTATCCATCCTGCAGCGTCGACGATGCCTATATCGCGCTCTTACCCTCACTTGCCTAGCGCTTCAATGTCCCACCGGAGCCTGCACTCGCACTCCTCGATATCGCTCACCCGCCCCACACGCCTTAGCTATGCAACGCCACCTGGAACCTCAAGCTCGAGTGGGTCTAGTCGCCCAGACAGCCGCGATGAAGTGTCTCCTGGAGAAGGCGATGTAGAAGCAAGGGCAACTGCTAGTGAAATTGCATTTGCCCTCGTAAATGGAACAGAGATACCAGGCACGTTACGTCCCAAAGAGCAGACCGGACACTCGCGCACAGTCAGTGCACCAAACACCACTGCCGGAGCTCCTCAACCATACCACTCCGGCCGCATGGCCAAGGGCTGGAAGCCACAACTTCAAGAAATAAGCCCCTCGAAAGACCGCGCGGGAGCAGCAAAGCACTTGCAACTTGCACGCAGCACATCAACAGGTTTTCTCGATCGCTTCAGTCCCGACAGCAGTCCCGATGCCAGCCCCAACAACGACATTAGGATGCCATACCAACCTTTCGGAAACGACCCCAACATCCAAAACTCCATTCAAGAACCACCACGAGTCCGACAACTGAAATCTGCGCGGAAACATTCTAGGATCTCTAGTGCACCTACTCCGGCAGAAGCTGCACAGGTCATGGTTATGAGGATGCCAGAGGATCTTCAGACACATCATACTAGGTCGAAGAGCGCGGATGCAGGACTCATGATGAGGCTTCCTTTTGAAGCTATCAAGAATAAGCCGTTGCCTAGGATCGCTATTCTGTAGCCTGGATTGTGAGATTATTCGACTTGTCATGTGACCCCGACTTCATCGCGTTGGTTTCGATGAGATTCGGGCTAGCAGCGGAACCACATCCATCTCCCCCCAACGGACATCACCCGGACGACGGACACTACACCGCCCGTCTGCGCGTCTGCGCGTCTGCAACCGGTTTCCCCTCAAGCGTACTGAATCCACGCTTGGTCATGGAGTTCCAGTTAGTCCGGCGCGGGGGTCAGCAGCGCCACCCGTCAGCTTACAGCAAACGATGGATGACATTTCACAATAGCGGCAAGATCCTACTGGCCACTCTGCCCTCGATGTAAGCAGCATTTATCGATAATGGCTTCACTTGGCACCACTAGATGCGTTTTCCAACCCAAAAACTCTGCTGTCCAGGTGCATGCTTTTTTGTAAGCTGTGGCGAGTAGGCGACCTCCGTTGGGGATGGGTCTTGTCTCAGATTCTGCAGCTTGCGGAGGCTTGCAGGAACTGTAGCCTGAGAAGGATATGGGTCGGTGGATACTTGGCGTGGGCGCTGGGAACATGGCACGAGATGGCTTGGATCTCGCTTGGAGCTCACGTCACTCTCACGGACTCTGTTTGCCATTCAAATCACCATACCCCATGGGATCTGTAAGCTGCGGATTGACGCCAAAATGAGAGGACTAGGCAGTGGTGGCGCAGATACAGTACCAATAAGACGAGCAAGATGGAGTATAGGTGGTGTGAGGTGATTGCCGATGAGGAGGCAGCGGCTTTTATGGCCATGTGTGGTTGAGATTACGAAGCAGCAGCCTCCCATGAACGGAATAGGAGGGGGGTTGTATGAATAAACTTCCAAAATACAATAACAAACACTGTTGTGTCATCACTCGATTCGATTAGAGCCCCAGCAAAGAGTCACTAACACGAAGATATGCCACCGGACAGATGAGTGAGAGCCGATACTTAGCGTCAGGAATGCGAATCACAACAGCACATGGGCAGAAGTATATACATCGGAACCTCACCACGACATAAGCGTAGGGGGATATGGTGCTATAATATCCTCTTATATACCCCGCCGCATATACCACAGGTATCATCATGGAGAAATTACATACTTTGCTCAGCCCAGTTGCTGTTTTTGTAGCTTAGTGTGGATTCGCTAATCTGACATGCCAAGGAAGTGGACCCTAGGTAGGCGGGGATTCGGGCGGAAAGAGGAAGAGGTGTAGGAAGGGCCGAGTGTGGGATGGTGGTCGGGTGCCACCAACATAGTGGGAGGGGGAAAAGTTACGTAAAAACCCATTTGTGAGAGAGAAGGGCTTGAAGATGGATTGGGTAGGACTGTCTGCGGGAGAGTCATTGGTGATGACCGGATCAGAGAGTGATTTGTAGATTTCATGAGCGAGAAGGACAATGTAGGTCTACTATTGTTGGTGTGCAATGCTCTACACACGAAACCGAAGAACCAGTTCAGTAATCACCTATACCGGCGTGTTAATAAGTGGCTGAGGCTTTAAGCCCCAATCCAGATATGAGCTAACTAACGTTACATAGGAATTTGATGTCTTACACAACCCTGTAAACGCAAACCAGGTCGATCAGATCATCACACGTGGAATAAATGAGTCGTAGAATTCGGGGAGGCGGACCGTATGTGCATGTGTTGTTGCTTACGTGAGGGGATTGTCTCTCGATCTGCAAGGCACGAGATCTTGTCCTCCCCTGGTAAGCTTACCAGTGCCTAGGTAGGTATGCTACCGGATGTGGACGGTGTTACGAGATGGAAAACGCATACACAACCCGTGGACGAGCAGAGGACGATTGAAAGACATTCACAATGTCATTCTATCATGGCTTGGGTTCAACCCAGCAGGTTTCAGGAAGATTGCTTGCCTACCAATAAACCGAAGTTGTTATGTCATACTAACCCCTAGGATTAATCATTGGCTGGCTTCTAGAATGTCTGTAATCTGACCTCAGCAGATATTGGCAGGTGAGAGAAGAAAGAGAGATGGCATGTGGACGTTCGATGACTGACCAAGTGTGTTACACGCCACCAACTGTGTGTGATGGCCGTGGAAGGACTTGGTGAAGTTGGTGGATGAGAAGAAGCATCGAGAAATGAGGGAGTTAGGTAACGAGAATTCACCCGTGATGAAGAAAGAGATGGAGGGAAAGGCAGTACGCCTAATATCAAGGCAAAGTGTATAAAGATACCCACCGTCCCCTCCTCCCTTTCATTCCATCCTCATCAACCCATTCCATTCCAATCCACCACCTCCAACTAACCCCCCAAACCCCCATCCAAAATGCAGCCCATCACCTTCCTCACCGCCGCCCTCCTCACCCTCACCACCACCGCCTCCCCTCTCCTCGCCACCGAAGAAAAACGACAAGTCCCCGAAGGCGCTCCCCGCGTCTACGCCCGCTTCTATGGCGACGGCGGCTGCAACACCGCATGGCTGGAAGACACCGTTTTCTTGCAGTCTGGTACGCGCGGGCTGGCTGGATGTCAGGACTTGACTGTTGGACCGTTTGCTAGCACTTTCTTTGATTACAACAACTTTAATGCTACTGGTGAGTGAGAAAGCGAAGAGGGTGTATAGGCATGAAAAGCTGACAGTGCATGTTTTTTTTAGTCCGATTCTTCAACCTCCCTTGCTCGCAGCTTACTTCTGTCAACTCTGGGAACCACATCGATATTGCGCCTGGTGCTGCTCCTGGGTGTAAGGCTTTGGCTATCAGGTCTTGGATTACTTTGTAATCAGGTATCTATCCTTCATGCCGCTCAGTCTCATTAGAGACTGGGGGCTGATGAATCGGATGTAGGCAAGAGAGTGGAAGGAAGACAGGAAGAGGAAGGTGCAGTAAACCGGGTCCAACACTCCAGTTTACCGTCACGGGTGTTATTTCCTTTGGTCGTACAGTCACTCCTTTACAAGAAATTTAAAGATGTTTGGGGATGCCCCCGCTTGAGTATTGGTGTATTCCGGCGTGTGAGCTTGCTTAAGTGATGTTTCCACATGTGCATTGGTTTGTTCTATGAATGGGATTACGTCTAGTGATTGTTGCAGAAGGGATGGAGCAAGCAGGGCAGTGATATATATCATCACTCCATCTCACTAGAAGTAGTTTCCAACTCCACCCCTGTTCCGAAATCTATAACGGCGCCGCTGTGACTTTATTCTATATATAACGGACCTCGTCCATGCCACCAGACTGCGATATAGAGTATTTCTCTCTTGAGAGAACTTTCATCTGCCCACATCAGTGGGGTAGTTGTAAAGAGTTGGCGGTGTTCCCGACCACTCTGCCATACTACCCCATAACACGCAATCTACTCTCTCTTTTGCGACTCATAGATCTGCGCAGCAAATATCTCCTAGAATCCGACAACGAGTAAGCAACTACTTCTACCTCAACAAGCAAACCCCTCTTGCATCCCCAGAGCGAGGCTTGAGCAATCAGCCGCTTTCTATACACTCTAAAATCAAGCAGAGGATGCGGTCATGTCTGGTGAGTACTTCCCATCTCTTTTTCCCCCTCCCGTAGTTACAACGTCCGACTCTAAAACTCATCCCGCAACACCACCCCCACCCTAACGTAACCACAGGTTCGGAGAAAGTGCGTCGAGCGTATAAGAACTGATACCAAGGTCGCGCATAGGTGCCTGGAACCCTCTACCAGAACGAACAACATGTCAAACTATAATGTCAAAATACCCGTGTAGCGGGAGCCGCACATAACGAAGACCACATTGCCGTCGCTGAGCACGAGAAGACGCTCGAGAACTAGGAAAACAACAAGGACATGCAGAAGGTGAACAAGAACAAGCAAGCTCTCAATATGACCGAGAAGAAGTGGTGGCTGAGCAGGTTATTTGATATTAGTATTATGTAGTCGTAGTTCAGTCTTATGTAACCTTCTCTTCACATGTTCGCTTAGTTACAAAACCGTGACTACTCATCAGCCCACCTCCTCCAACATCTTAGCCCTTTCTCAAAACAGTGCATCATCCCCAAAAGCCTTGGCATACATACCCAGCGCCTTGACGGGGAAAATAAACTTGTAGTTTGGATAAGAAATCATACTGTTCTCAGTGTTAGCAAATATCCCCAAGCACAACATCACCCCCATGAAAACTTACCAAGACTTATTAAACACGCCCTCAATCGCCTCCTGCAACCACTCGCCATTCCCTTGCTGCCTCTCCATAATCAGCTTCACCGCCCTCCTCAACGGCTCCTTCTCCGGGTAACCCCCCTCAAGCAGTGCAATAACCACCCACGCAGTCTGCACAACCTGGCTGCGAGGGTGCTGATGCCAAACACCCTGTTCGCAACTCTTATACGTTTCGCCCCACCCCCCATCCTCCATCTGGCGGTCTAGGAAAAACTGACACGCACGACGCACACGCTCGCTATTACTATACTGTTCGCCCGAGCACTTGAGCGACTCGAGCGCAAACATGCCGGCGTAGGTGAAGCAGATGCCCCAGCTACCGTACCAGGAGCCATCCGGGCGCTGCGAGCTGCGGATGTAGCCTACAGCGCGGTCGCGGAAGGCGGAGATTTCCTGGGCGCGGTAATTGGGGAAGTGGGTTTGGAACATGTGGAGGCCGGTTACGACGGCGGTTGTGCATTCTGGGTAGTCGTATTCAATCATGATGCGGCCGAAGACTTCGGCCGCGTTGAGGTGCTCGAGGAGTTCGCTGCCGCGCGTGGGCTCGTAGGTGGCGACGCCGCCCGAGGCGTTTTGCATGGTGAGGAGGACGTCGATGGCGAGTTTTAGGCGGTTGTCGGGGATGAGTGAGGGGTAGTTGTTGCGGTTTTGGAGGATGAGGATGCTCTTGAGGGCTTCGGCTGTGCAGTCGCTGACTGTGTAGCTTTGCTTGCGAGTGCTGAAACCCCAGGCGCCTTTGCGTTGTTGACGGTAGCAGGCGTGTTGGTCTCTGCTTTCTTCGAGAATTTGCTGGTCTTCTAGGAACTCGAGCACCTTTGCAAGCATTGGTGTCCATTTTTCGTCTTTGGAGAAACCGCATGCTTCCACGGCCTGGGCCACAAACGCAATGTCCCATGTTTGTACACCGTTTGTTCCGTTCATGAGCATGCCCTCATCCTTGACCCACAAGAACTCTGGAAGTGTCTTGAGATGCTCCTTGAAGGCGTGGCAGTTGGGACCGTCTCTGATGTACACACACAAAGTGTTCATGGGTCCATTCACCGGGCCAAGGTTCGCATAGTCGGTATTTTCATCCTCGGCTTGGATGAGCCACCATACATGCTCTTCAGCACGCTTGATCATCCAGTTGGGTCGAAGGTAGGGAATCCAAATAGCGACTATGAACCAAAACAGAAACTTGAGAAACCAAGTCTTCGGATGATAGTTGTCCGTATCGGCGATCGTATTCCGACGTGCATCAAAGTTGATAGTCTCATACGGTTCCATCAATAACTCCGCCCGTAGCTGGCTTGTCAAGTCATTCAACGGATACGACCATTTCCTCGAATAGATAAAACACATGGGCAGAAAGACCTGTCGCATATGTATCCACCACCGCCAAGGAGCAATAGGGACCCAATCTGGAAGCAGCCACAGCTCAGGCGGACAAGGATTGACGACATCCCAATGTGTCACACCCATCACGCTCAGCCAGAATTTTGCCCAATGAGGCGCATTCAAGGCACCACCCAGTTTCCAAAGCGTCTTGCGTGCCTTGACCATTCGCGGGTCTTCTGCGTCTGCACCAAGCAGCCTGAGCACAGTGTAGTTCATAGCTGTTCCGAACACGGTACTCTCCCCCTCGATGTGTAACCCCCACCCGCCATCTTCGGGATGCGCTCGTGCAAAGAGGTAGTTTTTTATTTCGATCGCATGCGACGCTGGAATTGGTGTCTCGGTGACATACCAGGTAATGACGAGGCCGGGGAGGAGAAACATGGGGCCTCCATATTCGCAGCCCCAGTTTCCAGGGGGTAGTTGGAGTTCGGAGAAGAAAGAAAGGCCATTGGCGGCGGCTTCGAGGGGCGTCTTTGCGGGCTTGAGGTCTGGTTGTTCCTGTGTTGTTGTATGTCAGTCTCACTTCAGTCGTTAGGAGGGACATATAACTATAGAGAGCATAGTTGAGTCTGGCGCAAACATACCGTATCAAGACCCAGAAAGTACTTGTCCGCTGTGCTTTGCGGCCAGGCCTTCATCTCCTCGTCGCTCGTCAAGTAATGCCAAGTTTGACATCCGCGGTCGTCTTTTAGCCTCCATCGCGAGTAGTCCGTCTTCTCATGTCCCTCCTTGCTCTTGACCACCCCTACGGCATCATCTATTATCTTCTGGCTTGCACCACGCTTCGTAACGCCATTGGTTGTGCCATTGACCTGTGTCATCGTGTACGGTTTGTTAACAAGATTCGTATTATCTTCCTGGGCTCATTGCACGGTCATGGAAAAGTCGTAGTGGAACAGCTGTATACTTTCGTTGCGGTGAAGGGTCTAAATCGCCGATCTTGGCAGCGACGCGTAACGTGTCCGTGCACCTTGTGCCCGGATTCATCTCATGCCCCGCGAACACCATCTTAGCGATCTCAAATTTGAAGCTGTACAACACCACACAATAGCTTAATATTAATAAAAACATAGCATTGCAGTAATTAGATACTTGCGATTAACTTGTACTATCTGAATTTTTGTGGGAGGTTGACGTTGCGGCCACGTGATGTGGTCTTTGGTGGTGGAGGCGATGGAGGAGATGCAACTCTATCGCGAGCTCTATCCTCCATCGCTCGTTTTTGACGCTTGTTCTTAGAAGAGGGCGCTCTTGAGGCTTTACGCTTGCGTTGTTGAGCTTGTTGGGTGGCTTTTTTCTGGTGTTGAGCTTCAACTTTGCGCGCGCGTTCAGCTGCTTTCTCAGCTCGCTCAAGCTCCCTTATCTCCTTGAGCCTCTGCCTCTCTACACGCTTCTCCTCGAGCTTAACTTGACGCTGCAGTTGAACCTCCTCACGCTGCTTCTTGGCCTGTGCTTTTTGGAGTTTCTCCTCTATCTTATCTCGCTCCCGTACTACTTCTCTAGCTCGAGCCTCGCGTATCTTGCGAGGAGACCAGAAGACAGAGCCACCGTGATACTCCTGGCGCTGTTGAAGGTCAAGAGCTTTGCCCTTCTTCTTATGCTTCTTTTTATGTTGAAGAGCCTCCTTTAAGCCCTCGTTCTCATGCTGTAAAAGCTTATACTGCACAGAGAGATGGTGAACGCTTGAGCGCAGCTTTCTTGCCTCATACTGATGGCTATCATTGACAGCAGCTCGTACTAACCGATCGAGCTTTCTCCAGTCATGATCAGAGAGCCCTGAAGATGAGCTTCTCTCAGCTTCTGGCGTGCTGGCAAATCTACGAAGGATAACGTTGGGATCTATTGGCCATATACCAGTAGCTTCAAACGCTTTTAATATAGTTGATTGCTTAAACGAGGCCTGCCAAGCTCTCCAGAAGAGTGGGAAGAAGTCTCCTTTCTTAATTGGAATGAGGCCTTGAGCCTTGTAGAGATGGTTAGTGAGCTCGTTGGAGTAGGCTTGAGAGAGTGGCTTGAACAGCACTACATCGAGCGGCTGGAGCGTATGAGTCGAATGGGGAGGAAGGATCATGAGGAGGATCCTATGGCGATCGCAGTACTTGATAAACTCCATCGTGAGGTGAGATCCATGGCCATCAAGGATGAGCAATCGCCATCTCCCTGATCGCTGCTTTGTATAGCGATCAAACACCTGCTCTAGCCAAGCTAGGCCTACGTCATTGTTTGACCAGCCTGTTAGAGATGATGAGACAAAGACCTCATGTTCTCCTGCCTTAATATCCTCCACCCAACTCGATCGTATGGCTCCATTTTTAGCTGCGTAGATAAGGGCTGGAGGCAGCGAGCTCCCATCGGCGCAGCAGCAGGCCAGGAGTGTCAGAAACTCGCGTGATCCATCCTGGAGAGATGCTCGAACCTCTTTCTTATCCCATTGACGCCTGCTAAATATCCTCTTACTCCTGCCTATCATACCAATAAGGAAGCCCTTTTCATCCATATTGTATATATCTCGAGCCTCTAGGTGGTATTCGGTGATCTTCTGGTGCAGCAGCTCGAAGTAGAGTCTATACTTTGACTCAGAATCAGCCAGGTGGCGCGTACGATCCATGGCGGTGGTCCACTTTGAGATAAGATAGATCTCGTGTCGGTTAATGAAGCGAGTAACCCAGCTCTCGCTGAGCTGCTGATGGGCTACTTCTGATGAGAAATTCCTGATCATCTCTCTTGTAGGAGGTAGGCCTTGCTTAGTGAGCTTAGTGATATATCGTACAAGCTCTAACTCTTGTTGTGGGCCGATAGCTTGCTGCTGAGCGTATCCATCGCTCCTAGGCCCTGTCACGCGCCTCCATCTTCGCCCTAGCGTTGAGCGGTTAACCCCCCATTTTTCAGCAACTTCTTTTAATGTGAATTTCTCTCCTGGATCGCGCGATTCTAAATCTGCAATCGCTTCATCAATCGGAGCCATAGTTGTGGAGTTATTGCGCGTCAAAGTTGTAGTATTGAGACACGCGTCGGTGTTCGGCGGGGCATGAGATGAATCCGGGCATGAGGTGCACGGACACGTTAAACTATAAACACGCGCCATGGCGGTGACGATTGGGCAAGACCAGGGTCATTTAATCGATATGCCATGGCAAAACACCCATGGAATTCTATTCAATTTTCTACAAGTCAATTCCATAATTTCTCAACAAACATATGCCAGTCAGCAGTATGCGGAAGCTTTCCGTCTTGGAGGACCCTGAAAATCCATAACCCCCAAATCTCAACCTCGCACCAAAACATATGCAAGCCTCCATCCTACAGCCTCGTACGAGCCTACCATGATGCCATTTCATCGCCCCTTGAATCCAACCCCACTCTTCGGCGCTCCCGGCCACCAGATCAAAACTTCCTCGCCACAATTACAGGCACCGAGCTTCGCCCTTGCTTGGCAGGCACTCCCGCCACAGGCGACAAATAAAATCCGTCACATCTCGGCTCAGGGCACACTGCATAGCCGCCCCCTTTCTGCTTTGAGCAACGTGCGCACAGTTCACATCTCGTTTACAATGACGGAGATAGCGGATATGCAAAGATCCGATGCCGAGTAGCTTCACTGCTGGAGATGAGATGAGATGACGATCAGGCGATGGGAATTAGTGAGCGTGTAGATATCGGTAGGATTAATGTGCTTGTGTATTGGATTACCCCGCGTAAACGCGGGAAATGAGTCTATACAGAGTGAGTCCATGTGTGTGAGTATGAGTGTGTAGTCAACGAGAGCGGAACAAGAAGCCACCAGGGCGTGCATATCGCATGCCCGCGCGCGTGCTCTCAAGTTGAAGGGAGAAAAAAGCTAAACCAAACTAAAAGCGCAAAAACTCGTGGTTTCCATAGGAAAATCGTCGTTAGATAGACGCTGCATAAAAAGCAAAAGAAAGTTGTGTGCAAATGCCCAAACATAGAAACCGCTCATGTTGCTAGAGAGGAACCGAAGAGATTGAGGAAAAAAGAAAGAAAAAAGACGGATTCCGCCGAAAGCGCTGATGCCCCGGGCATAAACCATTGTGTTACTCGATGTGAAGGTTGTATAATAGTAAAAATCTGTTAGAACAAGGTCTCCTCTGGTGGTATGACTACCATAGGCGACCGAGTAGAGGTACGAAAGGTAACCCTGTATTGGATTGAACTTCACTAAGAGCTATTGTTCTATCTACTTGTTGTTATGATGATCTTAGGACGTACATGACAGATCATCATTCCGCGTCGGTCCTTCTGCTCGGGCTTACTCCACGAACCTCACCTCGCCGACCTGGACTGAACCTAACATATTCTTAACACTCCCCCTCAGGGCAGGTCCGGTCCAAGGACAACTCCTAATTGGTTCTTGAATCTCTCGAATGCGACTCGCTGCAATGGCTTTGTCATTCCATCAGCCACCATGTCTGCAGTTGGAACGTAGGCCACATCGAGTTTGCCTTGTTCTGCTAGGTCTCGGATAAAATGATAACAGACGTCGATGTGCTTTGATCTTTCGTGAAGGTGAGGGTTCTTTGTAAGTGCAATGGCACCCTGGTTGTCTCCTAGCATCTGGACCTTGTTGGTGTCTTTTCCAATGTACTTTGGGAACCCAAGATCTCTAAACATTTGAGCAATCCACTGGCCTTGCTTGCAGCATGTTGATAGTGCGATGTATTCAGATTCGCAGCTTGACGTTGCAACAGACCGTTGCTTCTTGCTAGACCATGATATTGGACCTCCGTAGAACATTGCAGTGCTCCCTGAAACGCTCTTTCGGTCTACCATGTCGCTTGCCCAGTCAGCATCAGAGTAGATGACAAATTGCGAGTGTACTCCCCCTGGTCCGTAGCGTAGCTTCAATGTCACTGTCGACCTTAGATATCGTAGCAGGTTCTTCAACGCATGGCCATGGTGTTCTGCTGGATCGCTCATGTATTGGCTTAGCTTTCCGAGGGTGAATGCAATGTCTGGACGTGTAAGAACCATAGCAAACATAAGGCTCCCTATCACTTGCTGGTATTCAGTGATGTCGATTCGGGTGTCGTTGTCAGTGGCTGGCCTAAATGAAGTGTAATCTGCAGATGGAATCTTCTTGTCTCTGTGTTGTTTGCTAGACATTCCAAACTTGTCAAGTACTGCGTGTAGGTACTGTTCTTGATCGAGGTAGATTGTGCGGCGCTTTCTGTCTCGCGTAACTCGTACTCCAAGGATCTTATGAATCTCCCCCAGGTTCTTGGTGTTGAATCTTCCAGAAAGCTTCTCGTAGAACCAATCAATTTGAGCTCGATCTTTTGCAGCAGCAGCAATGTCATCAACGTAGACGAGGATACGGAGTTGTTTTTCTTTGTGGATAAACATGCACGGGTCTGCGAGGCTTTGTACGAATCCCCATGCCAGAAGTTCTTTCTTTATCAACAAGTTCCAGTCGCGAGCAGCCTGTTTGAGTCCGTATAAGCTGCGGAGAACTCTAAGGACGTATCCTTTTTTGACTTCTACTCCTTGGGGTTGCTTAAGAAAGATCTCTTCCTTCAAGTGCGACTCTGTGAATGCATTCTTAATGTCAAAGTGGAAACATTCCAGGTTTTCCGCTGCGACAGTGGCCATAAACAGACGTAAGGTGTCCATGCGGACTGTCGGGGCAAAAGTCTCGTTGTAGTCTGTTCCGTGTGCTTGCGTAAAACCTCTTGCCACAAGGCGTGCCTTAAACCTCTCAACAGTCCCGTCGAGATTCGTTTTGACTGTAAAAACCCACTTTGAATCAACCATGTTCGCGTCTTTTGGCTTTGGAACTTCCTCCCAGGTTCGATTCTCTGTAACG